CCACTCAGAGGCTGGTGTGTCTGGACTATGTGAGTGGCTTTGTGTTGTGGTATAATTCACTGTCTCGTACTGTACTGCCTGTTATGCATATAGAGTGCTTAAGATGAATGCATGTACGTCTGTATACATGAGTGCTTTTACTGTATTTGACTCTGTCCTAGTCATTGTTATTGTATTTAACTGGCTGCCACTTGTCAATATCCTAGTATATTTACAATCTACTATGTATTTTGACTGTGGTGACTCTTTTTGTTTCCAAGGTGATACCTCAGTTGTACCATTATGTTTTTTACTCTGTAGGAAATTGTATGTTTAATAAAAATTCACTGAACCCTGCCTTTTATGAAATACCTTTTTTATCTCACTGTGCACAGTAGCTAGAGAGAAACAAGCTTTTAAAAAATATTCAGATTCAAAGCTTATGACCTTCCATCTCAATTTACATAGGCAAATTACTGACAGCCAGAGCACTGACTTTTATTCAGCTGTAAGTAGGGAAAATGTACAGTAATGACGTGAAAGAGAAATTCATTTTTTTTACACAGAAGTCAGCAGTTTTCACTTCTCCATCGAGATCAATTTCCTGAGTGAGACAGACTAAAAATTCAGAGGAGGAGGACAGCTGTGACTTGTTCCTCAGTAAAGCACCTACGAGCTGACCGAGACTCTGTGATGATTTCTTGTGCAGCACAGATCATCTGGCTCCAGGCTGAGAGGCGTCTGGTTTGTTCATCCTAGATGACATGGCAAGTAATACTCGCGTGACTGCCTTTATTTCCTTCTTCTAGCAGATTCTGTTCACATCAGCATTCCTCACCGGCATGTCATTGGTGTGGTAATAATGGAAGCTATATTAGTCCTTATGTGAATGTCATTAGATTTGTTTCTTACTGATTATAAATTAAGCAGAGAACTGAGATTTCAGTATCGCTATTGTTTGTACCTTGAGTGTGCTTCTCTGTGTGTGTTGTGGCTCTAGAAATGGCCCCATTAGAGATGGATACACAATGCAGACGGGTTCACTGCCATGAAACCATCCAGGACTTCTCTGACCAGTGACAAACTAAAGGAATTGGCAGGTAATGCTCAATTTTAGCTGATGTTAAAATATGTTCTAATTTTAACATATTTATGTTGTCTATAGACACCACACCATTTCTCATTATATTTGTATGAGCTCTCTTATGTCCATCTGGGTAGATGTTTTTATTGGAGTGTAAAAAAATGACATTGGCAAAGTTATGTTACTACTACTAATGCACTGCTCCACTTTTATAGAGCCTAAAGTAAGTGTATAATGCATTTATTAATAATGTGTGAGCTGAGTAGGCTATTTTGACTATGAAAAAGCTCAGTAAGCTCATCGTTCTGGCAGTGTATCTGCACTGCATTTTAGTCTCATCCAGTCTCTTGAACTGAAGGAGTTATCTGCTTTAACACTATAACCCTGTCAAACAGAATAGGAACAAGAACATCACACTCTTGAGTGCTGTGGTGTTTACTATACAGATTGCTGAGTTACTGAGTAGTGTGGCATTTCCCTTCAGACTAAATCTTAGCCTCAATGAATCAGGATCAAGTCACATTTTGCCAGTTTTATACGTGTGTCCAGCCAAATTAGTTGGTTCTGCAATTCATCTACAATGGTTTATAAATACAGATAAAGCAATGACTTGGCCACTTGCTGTGCATCAGACACTGATGTCAGTTAAATCAAATGTATTGATCTGAGGTTGTAGTTCAGGTACAGACAAGACCATAATCAAATGTCCATGAGCAAATAGCTGGATGGTTTGTGAAGACTGTGGAGCAGTGTAGAAGCTGATGAAAAGAAATGGGTGGCAAGACAGAGGACAGGCTGCCAGACATATTTATAGATAGTGAGAAATTGATACTGAAAGTGTGCAGCAGGAGTCAGAGAGGCAGATTGCAAGAGAGAGAGAGAGGGAGAAAGAGAGAGAGAATGGGCAGGGCTATAGGTGTGTGAGAACAACAGCATGCCGGGCTAGTGGAATAGAGAGACGGAATGAGATGAACGGAAGGAAGAGAGAAAGAGGAGGGTGTGTGGTTAAGTGCTTGTAAGTGTGCATGTGCATGCATGCGTGTGTGTGTGTGTGTGTGTGTGTGTGTGTGTGTGTGCGTTAGTAAGTGAAATTATACAGAGGCAGTGTCCAAGTGCAGGATAGTGAACCGGGTAGAGAGATGCATGAAGAGGATGAGGAGTAACAGGGCGAGGCAGCAGCTAGAGCCACTGAGTGCGTGTGGTTGAGGAATATTGTGTGAACAGAGGGATGCAGTCATGTTTCTGTGAGAGGGAGCAGCACAGCAACGGTAACCATGCTAAGCCCCAAGATAAAACAGGCACGCCGGGGTAAGCACAGTCCCTCCTCCTCTTCTTCCATCCCTCCTCTACACTCCATCTCTTTTCTCTCGTTTTCTAATTTGTTATTTCTTACTCTCCTCTCTGCAGCCCTTCTCTGTCTTTCTCTTTCTCTCTCTGCAGAGCTCCATCTGTCCTGCTGCCTTTGTTATAAATATAACATGAGTTATGTTACCAGTGCATTCACTGATGACATCAAAAAGGTGTAACAGCGCCGTACATATTCTGAATCTGCACCCCAGTGTCATTCTGCATCACTGTGACTATCATTATCAGCTGTGACCTGAGGTTTCTTGTATAAACCAACATACTGAGGCTTTATCTGCTGGGCTTATTGAGAGTTAACAGGCACTGTTTGTGTGAGTGTGTGTGTGTGTGTGTGTGTGTGTGTGTGTGTGTGTGTGTGTGTGTGTAAGATTTGATTCTGATTGGTCATTGTAAATATAGCTGCTCACTACATTGGTCTGTATGCTGACATGTTCACACCTGATTACATGACTACATTTCTGTTTGTTCAAGGTTTGGCCCCAGTTATTGGGCTGTGGATTTGAGCAGGTGACGTTAGATTCTAGTTGTGAGTTGGTGAGAGAAATGCATGGCTTTCTACTCCTGTAAATGACAGCAGCTGACTGTCAAACACAATTCCTCTAACCCTGGGTAAAATCCATTTGTGACCACTGAAGTCAGAACAATTGATTTGATTTGATTTGATTTATTCTTTCAAGCATGTAAAGACAGATGATATGTCAACACACATAATTTTACACATATCCAACAAATGCTAATCCAATATCAATTTGCTTATACCTAGTACATGCTTGAATGGAGTAGGAAGAAGTCAGACTTATCCAGTCCTACCCCATGACATCATCTTACCATCCTTGGTTTGCAAGCAGTAAATGATTCACTTCTACACACACACATATTATA